TTGAAGACTTGGGACAGATCAAATCTTTGTTTTTTTTTTTTTTTTGTGGTACAGATGGATAAGGCAGCTCTGCTAGGAAGTGCAATAGAGCATGTGAAGGATCTCAAGAGAAAAGCAACAGAAGTCAGCAAGGCCTTCACTATGCCGACAGAAGTTGATGAAGTAACTGTAGATTGTGATCTTCCTGAAAACATATGCCCCCCAACCAACCCTAGACAAACCAAGGACAACAAGATCTTCATCAGGGCTTCTGTTTGCTGCGATGATCGGCCGGAAGTGTTTGCAGAGCTCATCCGAGTCCTCAAAGGCCTGAGACTAAGCACGGTTAAAGCTGACATTTCTAGTGTAGGTGGAAGAATGAGAAGCAACTTGATCCTTTGCAATGATGACAGTGAAGATCAGGGTGTTTCACCCAGCTCTCTGAAACAGTCCCTGAATGTAGTTTTAAGCAGGATTGCTTCATCATCCGCTGGATCAAATTGTCGCATCAGAAGCAAAAGGCAAAGGCTGTTCTTGCCTTCTCAGTTTACACAATAAATTGATATACTCCGTATCCAAGTAACATTCCAAGTTTGCAACTGTTTCTCTTTTCCTTTTCATTTTTCCCTTTCCCTATGCTTTATCCTTACATTCCTTGATACAATCAGTATGTCGCACGAGCATTTGACTAAATAATTGGTATATGATTTATTACTTAAAAAGTAAAATTTGAATACTTTTTTTATTCAAATTAAGAAATAAAATAAAAAAAACACATGAAAATCATCATGTGTTTTTCTATAAGGATTTAAGTAGATTTCCTGGTTGTGACCACTTTTAGCTTCCTGACAAGCAACACTACTTTTACCTCATCAAGCACTACATCAAATACTGATGTTGGTTTTTCCATGGATTTCCCTTTCCATCCCCACCATTTTGAAAGCTCTGATAGACGACCATGAAGGAATATGAGCATTCTTTGTAGTAGACTTGATGATGACAGATCAATTCAGCTATTCTGCTTAACCCCAATATCCATTGCTTGGACCAACGTTTTATGTCTCTATACCTTTCTTTCTCAATATATTAAATGGACGAAGGAAAGGAACACCACACTTGCAAATTGGGTATATAGTCTAGTAATGCCATTGCCAATCACCTTGTTCACTTTGTAAATTCTTTTTGTCCAAAGTTCAACATTTCAAAGCACTCTTCCCTTACCCTTTCATAACACTCAAATTGGGTAATTACTATAATCATAATTTTTAATTACAGTTACCAATTTATCTCGATTGTTTAATTACAGTTACATACTTCTCTTCTATTAATTTTATTCAAATAAAAAAAAAAAGAAACCTAACTTCGATTATTTCATTTTCATAACTGTATTTATTTTTAAATATTTTTCAAAAGAGGAAGTTATAACTTCCTTTCCACTCTAAACCAACTCTACACATGCAAATAACAAACTGAACTAAAATAAAAAATAAAATAAAATTTTATGTATTCATTTATTTATTAATATTTCGAGAGAGAAAAAC